CAGGGTGGGCGTGGCGTGTCCCAGGGCGTGTCATGTGACGTCACCACTCATTTGCATGGCCCCGCCCCCGGGCTCCCTCAGCGCCGCCGCCGCCGCGGAGTTGTGCGCGGGCCGGGCCGGGCCGGGCCGGGCCGGGCCAGGCCGGGATGGACGCGCTGCGCTCCGCGGGCCGGGCCCTGCTCCGCAGCCCCAGCGTGCACAAACCATCGTGGGCCGGCGGGAGGCACCAGAGTGAGAGCAGAGCCCGAACCGAACCCCCGCACCCATCCCGCCCGCCGCTCCCCGCTCTTTTCCCGGCTCTTTTCCCTTCTTTTCCCTGTTTTACCCCGCCCGTTCCCTCCCCTTCCTCCCAGCTCTCCGCTCTCCCCTCTCGCTTCACTTTGGGTCTCTCACGCCGCTCTTTTTGCACTTTTAGCCTCACTTTTAGTCTCACTTTTCGCCTCACTTTTCGCCGCACGTTTTGCTCCGCCCCGTGCGCGCCGCTTTCCTTGCGCTGTGGGGCTGGTTGGGGCTGGCCCTGTCCCCCTGTCCCTGTGTCCCCCTGTCCCTGTGTCCCCCTGTCCCTGTGTCCCCCTGTCCCTGTGTCCTCCTGTCCCTGTGTCCCCCTGTCCCCTTATCCCCCGTGTCCCTGTGTCCCCTCTGTCCCCATATCCCCCTGTCTCCATATCCCCCTGTCCCCGTGTCCCCTTGTCCCTCTTTCCCTGTGTCCCCCTTGTCCCCCTGTCCCTCTGTCCCCATGTCCCTATATCCCCGTGCCCCCTTGTCCCTGTGTCCCCGTGTCCCCCTGTCCTCCAGCCTGACACCAGGGTTGCCCCTCCGGGCACTCCGTGACCTGGTCCCGCTGCTGGCCCCGTCCCACGATCGATGGTCCCGTGGCGAGCGGCCACGCGGGGCCGGGCGGGGCCACCGCGCACCCCCCGAGGCGACATCGAACTTGTGGCTGTCGCTGATCCGCTGTGACAGCCGGGATTAGGGATCAGCACCAGCGGGGCTAGCTGGGGGGGCCGGGTGGCCACTGGGGGGGCCGGGACCTTGCAGAGCCCTCGGTGCCCCCGGATGTCGCTGTCCCCTTTGGTGGCCGCGGTTAAAGCGCTTTATTTCCGTGCCAGCACCTGTGGTTGCCCAGGTGGCATCAGGGGAATTTGTGGCCATTGCCCGTCCTTGGCACACGAGCCCACCCGGCATCAGCCAAGGCAGCACTCCTGGGTTCTGGAAATCCAGGTTAGATTTCCTAAAATCCAGGTTTAGAAAATCCAGCATCCCACCTGTCCTTGGCCGCTCCCTGCCCCTCTCCAGGTGTGCCAGGTGAGACCCCGGCCCAGGGCCCCGCTGGCAGGGCAGGGTGTTCATGGCTTACCTGCCCTCCCACAGGGAGCCTGAGTCACCTGGGCGAGCTCCGGGGCGTGTCCAGGTGCCCCCAGCCCTGCAGGTGTGTCCAGCATCCTCCCAGCCCTGCAGGTGTGCCAGGAGCTCTGGAGTTTGGCCCCACTGGAGGCAGTGAAGCCTCAGGGCTGGTTTTTCTCTCCCATCCTTGTCCAGGGTTGTTTTTTCTCTCCTATCCCTCCCCAGGGCTGTTTTTTCTCTCCTATCCCTCCCCAGGGCTGTTTTTTCTCTCCCATCCCTCCCCAGGGTTGTTTTTTTGTCTCCCATCCCTCCCCAGGGCTCTGGGTTTTGCCTCCTGCTCCTTCAGCACATCCCAGGCTGATTTTGGCTCCTGCTGTGGAATTCCAGGTTTAGGAGCCCCCAGCTGACTCCGACCTTGACCCCACGTTTATTTATGTTTAGAACCCCCCAGCAGCTCAGGGAGGGTCTGTGGTGGTTCCCAAGGGGTTTGTAGGTGCCCAGGTCACCTCACCTGGATCCCAGCTTAGCCCGGGCTTAGCAGCAAATCCCATTTTCTCCTCCTTGTGTAGGCGAGGCTGGGCAGGGTCAGGTCACTGCCCTGGGGGCTCCTCAAGGGTTCCTGCTCTTTGCTGTGGCCCGTGGGGAGATTTTTGGGATTTGTTTTTGCTGCAGGGGAGGCTCCCAGGTGAACACCTCTGGCTCAAGTGCTGCTGCCTCCTGTCCCAGCCCCCCCTGTGCCCCCCTGGGGGTGTCCTGGGGGGCGGCTGTGACCCCAGGAGCCCCCCTTGTGTCCCCAGAGCTGCCCGAGAACTGGACAGACACGAGGGAGACGCTGCTCGAGGGGATGCTCTTCAGCCTCAAGTACCTGGGCATGACCCTGGTGGAGCAGCCCAAGGGGGAGGAGCTCTCTGCAGCCGCTGTCAAGAGGATCGTGGCCACCGTGAGTGTCCCTGGGTGTCCCCTGGGTGTCCCTGGGTGTCCCTGAGTGTCCCCTGGGTGTCCCCTGCTGGCTCTGATCTTCGGGGCAGTCTCAGTTCGAAGGGTTCCAAAGATGCAGCTCTAGAAGTGTTGGGATTTCCAGATGTGTTGGGATTGCAGCTCCAGGGGCTTTGGGGTTGCAGCTCCAGGGAATTTGGGATTTCCAAGGAATTTGGGATTGCAGCTCCAGGGAATTTGGGATTTCCAGGGGGTTTGGGGTTGCAGCTCCAGGGAATTTGGGATTTCCAGGGGGTTTGGGGTTGCAGGCAGTTGCAGCCCCTGGGGCCAGGCCAGGCTCTGGGTTGGGGCTCTCTGGGGACGTTGCTCTGTGATCAGCTCTGGCTCTGTGATAAGCCAGGGTGTGTGGGGAGGCTCTGAGCTGCTGGATCAGCCTGCCCCGGGGCTGGGTGCCCTCAGCAGGCAGGGACAGCGACTGGAGCGTGGCCAGAGCTGCTCTGGCTGTTCCTGCCCAGGATTTGGAGGGTTGGGAGGGGCAGGGAGCAGGGCAGCTCCAGTTCCACACAGAGCTACCGTCCCACTGCAGCCTCACAGGGGTGGATTTCCAACCATCCCCTGATTGCCAGCCTTCCCCCAGCACATTTCCAACCATCCCCCTGTCCCTGTCCCCTCCCCAGGTGTGTCCCTGTCCCCTCCCCAGGTGTCCCTGTCCCTGCTGCAGGGCAGGAAAGGGTTAAGCAGTGCCCTGTGGTGACCCCAGTGTGCATCCCCAGGATCTGCTCCCACACCTTTGGGGGTTCCAGTGTTCAAATCCTGGCACTTTTTGGGGGTTCCAGTGTTCAAATCCTGGCACTTTTCCCTCCCAAAGGCCAAAGCAAGTGGCAAGAAGCTGCAGAAGGTGACGCTGAAGGTGTCACCCCGGGGGATTGTGCTGAGGGACAGCAGCACCAACGAGCTCATCGAGAACATCTCCATTTACAGGTGAGCTCTGGGGGGGCTCTCCTGGCCCTGTGCCCCGGGGCTGCTGCTCTGGGCTGCTCCTCACAGCCCCGGGAGCTGCACAGGGCTGGGGGATCAGTTCAGGGACATTTACAGATGATTTACAGACTGTCTCTTTTCTTTTCTTTCCTTTCTCTTTTATTTCTCCCTTTTCTCTCTCTCTTTTCTCTCCCTTTTTTCTCTCCCTTTTTTTCTCTCTCTCTTTTTTTTCCCTTTTCTCTCTCCTTTTTATTTACCTTTTCTCTCTCTTTTCTCTTCCTTTTCTTTCCCTTCTCTGTCTCTCTTTTCTCTGTCTCTCCTCTCCCTGTGGTGCCATGATCTCACCCTGCCCAGCCCTGTGCCATCACCTCCTGCACTCTGGGAGGGATTTGTGCCAGCCCTGTGACATCCCCGTGCTCCCTGCTGGGCCCTGGAGCTGGGCAGCTGCTGCTGGCAGCCCAGGAGGTTTGGGAGCCTGTCCCCAGCCCGTGTCCCCAGAGCTGGTGTGTCTTGCAGGATTTCCTACTGCACGGCAGACAAGAGCCACGACAAAGTGTTTGCCTACATTGCCCAGAACCAGCTGAACGAGAGCCTGGAGTGCCACGCCTTCCTGTGCTCCAAGAGGAAAATGGTCAGTGCAGGGGGCAGCAGGAGGAGGAGGAGGGGGCTGCAGGGATGGGAGGAAGGCTCAGGGACAGCTCCTGCTGCTGTTCCCCAGCTGGATTCTTGTCCTGGCTGCTGAAATCCTCTCTGGGGTGAGGCTGACAGGACCTGGGGTGGGTGGGCAGAGGGGCAGGAGGTGTCCAGGGGCTCCAGGGACAGATTTTTTTGGTGGCATCTGTGCCCCTGCAGACCCTGCTGTGTGCCAGGGATGGGGCTCAGGGCAGAGATTGGGCTGTGGGAGAGTCTGGCTCTGCCTTTGAGGCCTCCTGGGATCCTTCCCTGCTGGTTCCAGGATGGGGAGGAGAGAGAGAAGCAGAGCAGGGAGAGCCAGAGCTGGGGCTGAGCCCCCTGCCCGTGCCAGGAGGGGCTTTAGGGCAGCTCAGACCCCAAAAATCCTTCCCTGCATGGGGGATGGAATGTCCCAAACCCCCCCTGAGGGCCATTCCCCCCCTGCCCATCCCAGCCTGGTCCCCAGCAGCTCTGTTCACATTCTCTGCCTCTCCCAGCTCATTTTTTTTTTTTTTCCCCTTGGAGAGAATAATGGGATCCACAGGTTCTCTCTCCTTTCCTCAGTGTTTGCTCCCATCCTTGCATGGCCAAGATAAGCCTCACTCTGCAAATTAAAATTTAAATCTTCCTTCTGCTGAAAGAATTATCTCAGTGCTACATCAGCTCAGTGCATCCCCCCTCCAAGTAAAGTTCTCCAAAGCCTTTTTGTGGCAAAAACTCGGAATAATTTCCTTTTTCCTGGTCTGTAAAATGCAGGAACATCCTGCTGCTGAGGTGATCCCTGCTCCCAGACTGGGAGCCAGCCCTCCCCAGGGCAAGGTCCCTGGATGCACCACAGCTCCCAGGCACAGGCACCTCATTAATCCATATTTTTAGTTCCTGGGTAATTCTAAACAGTAGCTGGGTCTATTAAACTTGATTCAGATGTGACAGCTGAAATTGTAAACAGCTGTGAGGAGTTTCATATTAATTACCATATTTAAGGGTTGTTTTTGTTTTTTTTTTACCATAAAGCATTTGCACTTCCATCAGGGATGTAAACAGCTCTGACATTCAGATGAGCTCTCCTGTGTGCCAGCCTTAATTGGCACTGATGGCTCTGGGGCCTCCCTGCCCCCCCTGCCTGCATTTTGGGGGTGCTGAGCCCTGTCTGGGTCCCCCCCATTCCCTGGGAGCTGCCAGGTCCAGCCCCAGCTCTGGGTTTGTTCTGTTCCAGCTTGGGAAAGCAAACTCAGCCCTGAGGCTCTGGCTGTGGGGAGCATTTATCAGAGATTGCAGTGATTCCACTGATCTCAGAGATCTCAGTGGTTGATCTCAGTGGTTTCAGTGGTTGATCTCAGTGGTTTCAGTGGTTGATTCCAGTGATTTCTATGATCTCAGTGATTTCAGAGGTTTCATTCAAGCTCTCTCTGCCCCTGCAGGCTCAGGCTGTCACCCTGACTGTGGCTCAGGCTTTCAGAATTGCCTTTGAGTTCTGGCAAGCAGCAAAGGAAGGTGAGAAACCTCAGGGGTCCCTTTGCTGTTTTCCCAGCTTTTCCCCTGCCTCCCAAATTCCCAGCCCTGGAAATGCAGCCAGATTTTGGCTTTCCTGCTCCCTGCCACTGTTGGGATTTTTGCTTTCACCTTCCATGAGGTGATAAAAGCACCCTCAGCTCTCCCCATCCCTCCTCCACCCATTGCAGGCAGTGATGGGATCTCTTTTTTTGGGGGGGGATTTCCTCTTTTTGCAGAGAAGGAGAAGAGGGAAAGATCCATCCTGGCAGCAGAAGGGACGAGCAGCCCTGGCTCAGAAACTCCTGCTCATCCTGTGCCAGGTGAGGCAGAGCTGTGGGATGGGCATGGGGACAGTCCTGAGGGGTTTGGGATTGTCCCTGAAGGTTTGGGAGATGTCCCTACCCAGGGATAGGGACAGCCTGAGGGATGGGGGACAAGGTTTGGGCTCTGTGTGCTCCTCACTCCCTCTCTGCTCTGCCCACAGCAGCAGCCATGGGGACCCTGCTGGATTTGGGGGACCCTGCCAGGTCCCCCCTGGGCAGCACCGAGTCCCCAGAGCTGGACAACAGCAGCTTTGGGCCCAGCCCCTCGGTCAACAACAACGTGGTGTGGGTAAGGGACAGCCTGGGGGGCTGCAGGGGAGCCCTGGGCTCAACTGGGACCAACTGGGAGCTCTGGGGTGCCTGAGCTGCTCAGGGATTATTCCAGAGCTGGGAGTGATCCCTGAGGGTTCAGTCCCTGATAAATGACCAGGGTGCAAAGCCCCTGGGAAATGCAGCTCCAGGGAAGTGAATGCTGCTGGTTCTGCTGGAACATTGCTCAGTGCTTTGGCACTTCACTGAGAGCTCACCTGAGTGCTCTGAAATCAGAAATCATTGCCTTGTGGTATTTACTGCTCACTAAAACCAGCTGCTGTTTCTGTTCATTGTTAGTCTTTGCTTTTCCCTGCTCCTGTTGGTGTCTGTGGGGGCTTGGGTGGTTCTTGAGTGGTCCTGAGTCCTGTGGGTTCGTTGTTCCAGGGATCTCTGAGGGATGGGGATGCAGCCCTGGGTGGGCTTAGCTGGGATTTTGGGCAGGGGGTGCCCCTGGATCCCTGGCAGTGCCCAAGGCCAGGCTGGGATCCCACCCAGACCATTCCATGACTCTCTGGCCACCAGCCCTGGGGTCTCATCCCCACCCCAGCCCCTCTCTGCAGCCCCCTTGCCTGCTGCATTTTGGGCATTGCAGGATAATTGCAGGTTCCTTAGCCTGGAGCCTGAGCCCGAGGCTTTCCAGGTTAAACCTGAGATCAGCTCTAAGGCTGAATCAAATCCTGCAGCTTAGCAGCAATCTCCAGTCCCCCCCTGCTTACAGAGTTCTCATACTTTACTCATTAATTGCATTAAATCTGTAAGTGCATTGCAGGATTTTGGGAATTGCCCAAAACCTTTGTCCCAAGCAGCTCCAGCTCTGGGAGCAGAGCAGGATAAAGGATCCCAGAGCTGGTTTTAATTCCCTGCTGTGTGTGCAGAGCTGCTCTCCTGATCCTGATGCACAGAAAGCCCTGGGGTCCCTCCTGGTCCCTCCTGGTGGCAGGGCAGGAATGGGTTAACCCTGGCACGGACCTGGGGGCTCGATCTGCCCATTTGGGCATGGAGGGAAAGGGCAAAACCGCTGGGATTCACCTTTTCCCTGCAGCTGGGGCAGAGGAGGCAGATGCAGAGGAGGTGATTGAAGCACTCAGAAGCCAACAGATAATTTATTTTATTATTTTTTTTTTAATCTGAGTGCAGAGCCAGATCTCTAAATACACTTTTGTGCAGCTCTCTTAGCAACTACTTGTCTCTCTTTTTATCTCCTAACAAAGGAAATGGATGATGGTCTCGACGAGGCGTTCTCAAGGTAATTCTCATCACTCCCTTCCCGAGCTGGGCACGGGGAGCAGCCCCGGAGACTCGACTGGTGCCTGGCTTTTAATAAAGCTCCTTAATCTAATCAGGGCTGTGATCTGACCTGAGCAGCTGCCCCATCACAGCCTCAGCTGGTAATTGAAAGATAGGCTGTCAGGCTGCCTGATAAGCCCAATATTTTGTCAACCTTTTAAGGATGCAGTGTGTGATAGGGAATTGAGTTCCCCCAGCACTGGCTGGGTCTGCTCCCACTCTCCCGGGTTTTTTTCAGGCTGTTGCTCCCAGCTTCTGGCACTGGGGGCTTTGCTCTTCCCCAGGCCACAAATTGAGGCAGTGTGGCCGTGGATTCCTGGGGTTTATTCCTCTTTCCTCTCCAGATTCAAGGCTTCCCCTGCCCGTGCTCAGCACTGCAGCAAAGCCAAACAAACCCATTTCCTTTGGGGTGGCTTTTCCTGCCTGGCCTGGCAGAGCTGCTGAGGTTTCTCTGGGTCCCATCCTCCTCTTCCTCCTCCTCCTCCTCTTCCTCCCCCTGGTCCTGGGAGGTGCAGGAGGAGGGGGTGAGGCAGGAGGAGGCTTTGCAGCAGTTCCTGCTCAGCCCTTGGGGTCCTGTAGGGCTCTCAGGGGTGATTTACAGCTGAGCAGGAGCTCATGTCCTGGTTTCTGTGTTTTCCTCCTGCTCCCTGCCCCACGGGGTGATTTTGGGCTTTGTTCTGCATTGCTGAGCTCTCACATCACCCTGGGCCCTCTGGTGACTCAGGGTCTGTCCTGCTCACCCTGCAGCACTCCCCAAACCACTCCTGCCACATCACCACTCATTTCTCTTCTTTATTAAAAACTGGGGCTTCATCTCAGGCTCTTTTGGATGTTGTGCCTCCCCTGGATGAAATCCCAAATATCTGAATTAACCTCCACATTTCCCCACAGCATTTAAATACTTAAATCACACAACAACAACAACGAGCTGGGTTTTGTGAAACATCTGGGATGAAAAACTCTTCCAGCTGTTCTGGGGCTGTCCCAACATCAGCAGAGCTGAGTCCCAGCTCCAGGGGGGGAAGCTCTGCCCTGGCAGGCAGCGCCCCTGGAGTGTCCAGGCTGCACATTGCAGGGATTCCTGCAGGGATTCCTGCAGGGGAAATGCTGGGACATTCCAGCAGCAGAGCTGGGAATGTTCTGTGCCAGCCCCTGTGCTGCCTTTCCCCCTTTGCTGAGAGTTCCCAATCCACTGGGGGGGCTGGGATGTGGAGCTGGAGCTCTGGGGGTGCAGCAGGAGTGAAACCACCCAGCTCTGCCTTTCACTCTGGGTTTTATTCTGGTGTTTCCCTCTGTGTTTTTATTGTTTTATTCTGTTTGTTTTCTGGTGTTTCATTCTGTTTTCCTGTGTTTTTCTGTTTTCCTCTGTGTTTTAATTCTGTTTTCCTGTGTTTTTCCTGTGTTTCACTCTGTGTTTTACTGTTATACTCTGTTTTATTCTGTTTTCCTTTATTTCCCTCTGTGTTTCCCTCTGTTTCACTTTGTGTTTGTTTCCCTCTGTGTTTTCTTGTGTTTTTCTGTTTCCTCTGTGTTTTACTCTGTTTCACTTTGTGTTTCACTCTGTGTTCTAACCCTGTTTTATTCTGTTTTCCCGTGTTTCCCTGTGTTCTAACCCTGTTTTATTCTGTTTTCCCGTGTTTCACTCTGTGTTTCTGTGCCCCCCCAGGCTGGCCCAGTCCAGGACAAACCCCCAGGTTCTGGACACGGGGCTGTCAGCTCAGGACATGCAGAGTGCAGAGACTCTGTCCCCTGTGGACTGGAACAAACTGGAGCCCAGCACGGCAGAGAAGGACGAGCTGTTCATGTTCTGAGGAGAGGAAAAGCTCCAGGGGATGCCACAGCCCAGTTTAGACCAAAGCTTCACCACGAGCCTAACTCGGATTTTTCTACCTTGCTTTTCTCTAAGCCACCAGACGCTTTTGGATTTTATTTATTCACGGTTTACAAAGTTGCTGGGAGGTGTGGGGAGCACCTGCAGCAGTTCCAGCTCCTCCTGGGCACCACCAAAGCCCCTCTGGGAGCATCCCCAGCCCAGGGCTGGGATGCAAAGGCAGCTCCAGGCGTTCCTGATCCCCCCAGTGTGGAGCAGACACAGCACCTGCCTGGCCAGGAGGGTTTGCAGCAGCTGCTGCCAGCGAGGGAGCAGAGAGGGAGCAGAGCTTTTGTCCCAGGGGCTGTGGCCCAGCTCTCAGTCACCCTCGGGGAATCGACGCCTTTTTAACCCAAAGACTCCAAAGTTTTGCACTTTAAAACTTGAACTGAAAGCAATGGTCCGAATTGTCAAGGTAAGCAGTGCCTGGAACTTCTCTTCAGAAGCTAATTACCCAAAAATAATTACCCAAAAAATAATTACCCACCCTGGCCATGCTGCAGCCCTGGCTCCAGGCTGACCCCTCACTCTGATACCACTCGAGGTCCCGAAGCTCCTTTGGCTTTAAAAGCAGCAGGGGGGGAGGATTTGTTTGGCTGAATTGTGCTGGGAAGGGCAGCAGGAGCCGAGATCCTCGTTCCCAGGAGCAGTTCCTGGCTGTGCCATTAGCAAGGGCTGCCCAGCCCAGTCCTCCCCTCTCCCTGGCAGCTCCTGGGGGGCTCAGGAAGCTCCATCTCCCCCTGGGACTGAGAATCAGCAATGGAGGTATAAAGCTTATGCTAATTCAAAGATGAAGTTTAACGATCCTGAGTGGATCACTGACACCTCACAGTGTTTGTGGCCTTATGTGAAGTGTACTAATCTGTTTTATAGATTTGTAACTTGGCTTGGAAGCACTAATTCATTCCCCAGGTAGCTCTTTAGAACTCCCTTAAAGCTGCTGGCAGGAAGGGAAAAACCTTCTCTGTCAGCTGTAAGAATTCATTTAGGAAGCAGCAGAGTGACTCTGACTTAGCTTTGAGAGATTTTCCTCCCCCAGGTGTGAGAGTGAGAAGGGGTGGAGGATTTGTGGAGCTGACTCAGCAGGTGTGTGCTAAAACCTGGGCTCTGTGGATGCTGCAGAGGTGTTTGAATTTTGGAATTGCTGTGCCCGGGTCCTGGCAGCCCCTGGGAGGGGGGAACAGCAGAGCCTGGAGCCAGCCCTGACCCCAGCGAGCTCAGATCTGAGCACTGGGATGGACTGGGAGGATTTCTCTGTGCATTCACCTCTCTCCTTTCCTGGAGACTCCAGCAGCACATCCTGAGACTCACAACACTGTCCCTGTGTGTCTAGAGTGGGGTTTATTTTTAAAGAAAACCTGATGCTCTAAAGAATATCCTGTACTGAGGGGAATTAAAAACTCTGCCGTTTTTTTTTTTTTGAGCCTCTGTGCTGGGTGGTTTTATTTTCCCCGTGGTTCCTTTAAGGTGTGGCAGCTTCTGGTGGCTGGGTCGTGCCTGGATGGGATCAGGAGTGTCCTGGGGAGGGGATTCCAGGGGATGCTGAGGGGCTGGGGGCTGCTGGCTCTGCTCCCCCTGCCCCACATTGCTCCAGGGGGGACATGGGGGGACTTTGGTGACACAAAAGCCCTGCCTTGGAGCAGCCACAGCAGCACAGAGGTGCCAGAGTGACATCCCAGACCCCAGAGTGACATCCCAGTGTCACATCCCAGACTCCAGAGTGACATCCCAGTGTCACATCCCAGCTCCCAGTGTCACCCCCAGCTCCCATCCTGTCACCAGGCCACAGCCACGAGCCCCAGGTGTAATTAATTAATGGAATTAAATGTATAAAAATCCTGAATCTGCTCCTCCTGGATCATTTCTGCAGCGCTGTCACAAGTCAAAGTGACAGCCAGGAATAAAACATTGGCGTCTCTGGCATTTTTTATTACTTTTAATGTGCTGTCTTTTTTTTTTTTCTTCCTGTGAGTTACTGGAAATTTAAATTATAATGGTATGCTTCACTTAAAGAAAGTAGCCATAGCAACAGGAGCATCTAAATTATTGCAGGCTGATCACTTCTCTCCTGGAGTCACATCACACCTTCCAAAGGCACTCCCAGAGGTGCAGGGTTTTAATAGAGTTTTTGTTGGGTTTTTTTTTAACCTTTTTCTGCAAATAAACAAATGAACACACAGCACTTCCTCCATCAGTGCAGTGCCTGCAGGAAGATCTGAAGTGAAGAAGTGCCAGCTCAGTTTGCTGCCCAGAGAGGAGAATTTGGAATCCCTTTCTCCTCTCAGGGTTTATTCCATGTTGGACTGGAGAATTCCTGTCCAGTTCAGCTGCTGGAAATTCTCTCCTGAGCCTGCACCATCAGCAATGTTCTTTTTTCACTTCCCAGCTGGCCCTGGGTTTATTTCTATTTTATTATTTCCAGGACAAAGGGGAATGGGTTAAAGCTCAAGGAAATGTTTAGATGAAATACCAGGGGGGAATCCTGGATTTGTGGCAGTGCCCAGGCCAGGCTGGAGCCCCTGGGACAGGGGAGGTGTCCCTGCCAGGGCAGGGCTGGCAATGAGAAGATTTTTAAGCTCCTTTCCCACCCAAACCATTCCATGACCCCCCAGAAAACAACTCCAGCATCTGCTTGCCATTTCAGAGGTGATGGGTGAGAGAACACCCAGGTATTTCTCTTCCATCACTGGTGATTTTTTTGGGCTGGAGCAGTTACAGATTCCCACCCTTTAAAAAATTCCCTGACTTTAATCATGGCCAAAACCCGAGTGATGCAAACCGAGCTGTCCAACGTGAGCAACAGACCCGCTGCAAGAAACAGAAAAGCTTTTTTTTTTTTTTTTTTAAATTCCAATCTCAATTATAGGAATCAAATGCGTCATCTGGATCAATAGCAGGTTGGGATTGCTCAGCCAGGAAGAGTTTGGATATAAAAAGAATCTGGGAGGCTCCCACAGGCTCGTGTGTCACTGCAAGGGGGATGGTGACAGCGATGTCTGCAGCTTTGTCCCCTGCACAGCTCCGGGGGAGAGCAGAGCTTTAATCAGTGCAGGAACATTTCCAGCCCAGCCTGGGCTTGCCCTGCTCAGGAACAGCCTTGCAGGGATTTGCCTTCAGTGTCCTTTGGTTCCCAGTGCCCCGTGGAACATCCCCAGGTCACCACACCCTGCGATTAAAACCTGAAACATTTCCCATCGTTTCACCTTTACAGAGCAAGAGCTGATGGGCACAGAAGTGCCCGTGGCTCAGCCAGCCCGAAGGAAAACGTTAAAAGCCGGGAAAATGTGTCAGAATTCTCTGGGATTGTTTGAAAGGGAGGCTGGAAAAGGAGGGGCTGCAGCTTTTGGGAATGGGATTATTTGGGAATGGGTGACAGGAGCCAGGTGCATCTTCTGTCAGCGACTTCCAGACCAACTTTGCTCCACGTGTGAGCTAAAAACAGAGCACAGAGGGTGGGTGGTGGAACAGGGGTGAGAACGAGGCAAAAAAAATCTGCTGGACCTGCAGATCCAGCTCAGGTTTGGAAATCACAGCTCCTGTGAAATCACCTGTAATAAAGAGTGACAGGAACCTGTAATTTCGTGGTTGGTGCATGAGGCAAAGGAGGATTCCAGCGACTCTGGCAGAGCTTTATTGCTCCAGCTGGAGGCAGGAATATTCAGGAATATTTCAGGAATATTTCAGGAATATCCAGGCTCAGCTCCCTCCCAGCTGTTCCACATCAGCTCAGCTCTGCCCTGCACAGCTGGAGCCACAGCTGCCCCCAATCCACCTTCCCACCCCTCAGAGGAACCAGATAAATCCCAAAGTGAGGGCTGGGGGCTCTGGGGAGGATTTGACATCCATGGTTCGAGGCTGTGCTGGGGATTTGATTCTTTAATGGGGCCAGGTTTGATTCTTCAATTGATGTTTGAGGCTGTGGTGGATCCACGGGAGTCTGGGGGGCAGTGGGTTGGCAAAATGTGATTGTGAGTGACAAGAGGCAGTGCAGGGCAGGCAGGAGCTTTGTTTTCAGGGGATGTGAGAGGCTGGCCTTTGTTTTTCCATGCCGGTTAAACAAACGCTGTGATGGAATTGGGGAAGGTCTGTTGGAATCTGGGTCACCTGCTCCTCTGTGGTCTCCTGTTTGTATTTCCAGCTGACCTGACTCACGTCTGAGGAATGGGATGGGAGAGCTCCTGGAGCAGGAATCCAGTAAATTACTGAATTTATAATAATTTATAACAAATTACAGCCAGGTAGGAGCACCCCAGGCATTCCCAGCAGAGCTCCCTGGCACTCTGAGCCTCCCCAGTTGTGCTTTTGACATCCTCACGGTGGGAGGGGGCTCAGGGGTGGGGATGGGGCAGAGCAGCACAGGCTGGAGCTGCTCCCTCCAGCCCCCTCTGCTTCCCCACGGCACAGGGAGGTGCCGAGCCCCGAATTCACCCCCTCCTGTCCCACCTGAGATTCAAACCTGGGCTTTCCCCAGAGCCAGCCCGGGCACAGGACGGGTTTGGGCTCCTCTGAGTGGCCGTGGGGAGCCCCGTGGTGGCAGCCCAGGGGTGGCCCCGGGCATCGGTGGGGGCTGGTGATGGAGGAGAGGCTGTGATGAGGATGCTGAGGGTGAGGAGCAGCTCCAGGGCTGCTCTGTGTGTCCCCGTGTCACCTCTGCGGGCTGCCCTGGCTGGAGCCCCGGGGGATGCAGGTGTGTCCTGCCCTTCCCTGGCACTGCCAGCCCTGCTGAGATGTCACCAAATCTGAGTGATTAAACCCCCCCAGAGGCTCAGGATGAGCCGGGAGCTGGGGCAGGGCCAGGCTGAGCATCCCAGCCCTGGCTGGCAGTGAAAAGGGCTCCTGGAAATGCTGATTTAAAGCTGCCTGCCCTGGGGAGCTCCAGCTTTATCTGATCTGGGCCATCCCAGGGAGGTGCTGGAGTGGTAACACAGCATCTGCACAGGAGATCCTGGCTGTGCTGACAGCCACTGACTGGGGGAATCTCTCTCAGCACCTGCTCTGCCTTTGCACACATGGCTGAGGTGTCACCTAAAAACCCAAAAATGGCACCAGAGCCGAGCTCCAGAGTGCCCCTGAGCCACCAGGGCTCTCTGAGGCCACACACAGCTCTCAAATGTGTTTTTAACAAATCATTTCGTCTCTCTGAAAGGCCTCTGCAGCCCTGGCACTGCTCTGTTCTATTCCCTGAAATCCCTACGTATTCCCTGCCATCCCAACAAAGCTTGATCCAGCAGGTGCCAAAGTCCTTTGAAAGATCAAGGAGGTGGCAGCTGCCCCTCTGTGTGACCCCAGAGCCATCAGCCACTCCACCACCAGCCCTGGGCTCTCCTGTTGTCTCCAGGACTGTCCCCGAGGGTTTTTGCAGGCTGAAATTGTTCCTGTTTTATCTCAGAGCCAGCACGGGGCTGTTTGGGATGAAATGGAAAGAGCCCTGAGCAGGTTCAGGGGGAAGCCCTGGGAGTCAGCCAGGCTTGAAAGGCTGAGCTGGGTTTGCCTCGGGCCGTGCACACAGAGGCTTCTCCCAGGCTTTGGGATGCCCCTGGATGCTGCAGCTCTGTCAGAGCCCCAAACCCACCCCCACCGTGGCACTGGGGCTGTCCCACAGATGTGCAGAGGTGACCTCGCTCCTCCCTCACAGTAAAAACGAGCAATCCCAGCCTCCCTGGCCATGTCCTGCACAGCATTCCCTGTGCCCAGGGACACCAGCCTGTCCCCAGTGGCTCTGGCTCAAAAAAAACCCAAACCCTGAAGAAAATCAGTGCTGGAGTGTTGGCACTGCTCCACCTCTGGACATGTGTCCCCTCAGGTCTCACAAAAAAATTTTGGGTTTTTTTTTCTTTTTTCCTTCCCAAAGCCAGGACAGAAAGACACAACCCTGAGTCGTTAATTCCCTTCCCAGAACTCCTCAATCCCCTCCCCTCTCACATTCCTGATACCTGGCAGGTATTTTTATAATCCCATAATTGTTGTTTTCTGTGCTCCAGCCTGGCCAGAGCTTTCTCCATCTGTATGCAGTGTGTGGCTGGAGCAGCCCCTGGGAGACAGCAATAAAAACCTGTGAGCTCATGCAGCACAAACACCTCCTGTCCCCTCGTCCTGGGCACTGGGGTGAGCTCACTGCTCACCCAGCCACGGGCTGGGGACAGGGACAAGGCACTGCCCTGGCCAGAGTCTGCTGGGCTCCCTCAGGAGGCCCCAAGGAAAATGTTTTTGTTTTTTTAAGCATTGCCCTGTGTGCAGTTTTAAAGGAGGGAAAGGAAAGATGAAATCCGAGTGGGGTCTGTGGGTGCCTGCAGGAGATTTGTCATTTCATGGCATCTCGTGGAGTGATGAGCCTGAGCTGGAGACAGCAGGAAGGAAAAACATTTCCCTGTGCCACACCAGCACCACAAAATTGTTTCATCTTCTACTGACCCAGGGAAGATGGAAAGGACATTTCTGAGGATTTGGAGGATCCAAACCCCCTGTGGCAGCAGCAGCAGCAGGGGCTGTGCTGGCCCAGGGCCACCAGTAAAGGACCCTGATCAGGTACTGGGTGATACTGGGAGTGCTGGTGCTGGGCCCTGCAGGCTGTGCCCGTGTCACAGGACGGGTTTTGTGGATGCCACGTGGGACACCACACTGGCAAAGTGACAACAACTTGGGGCTGAGCTCCTTAGGCTCAGTTTAAATTTAGTGTAGACAGTGATTCATCCCAGCCAGGCTGGCACTGACCCGTTCCTCAGGTCGGGACAGATGAACTTCACCCTCAAGGTGACTCAAAAAATTCTTTTGGGCTGCAGAGAAGCCTGTCCTGATTTCAGTGCTTGCCAGGTGCAGGGCACAGCTCAGGGGGTTTGGGCTCACAGGGAAAAGCTGGGGTTGTTTTGCTTTCACCAAATTCCTCCCTGATTTATCTTCAGGTCTGCTTTGTCTGAGCTGCATTTCCTGACAGGTGAAGTCTTTGGCTGAAAATTATTCTCAGGCTTTTCCCACTTGGGATGTTGTTTCTGCAGCCATCTAAAGCTGCTCCACATTCACAGGAGCAAATTCACAGCCTTCCTCTGGCCCTCTCCTTATTTAAGCAAAATGGAACACAGGCACAGTTCTGATGAGGCTGATTTTAATGAAAAAAAAACCAGAAAAAAACCCAAAAACAAACAGAAAAGCTGCAGCCTGCTCCATTAGTCACCTGGTGTTCCAGGGATGTAATAAAGTAGAAATGTTCCTGCTCTCTCCTCCGTGCACCTTATGTTGTGTTTCTGCTTTTGTACTCTTTTTCAGCATCTTTGATATTTTCCCTGGCACACAGGAGGTGACATTGCTGAGATGGAGACCTTTACCATAATTAAGCAAGACTCCTCCTCCCCCTGTGAGATCTGGCTCCTCCACAATTCCGTGTGGGGGACTCAGAGCAGGTTACATCTGTTTTCTCACATGTGAATGGGTTTTTCTTTTTTTTTTTTTTCCCTCTCGAGTGTGGCTGAGGTGATGGGCTTTGCATTGTGCAAATGTCTCTGTCCTGCCTGCTGGAATTCTCAGCAAGGCTCCTGTGCTTCCCTAAGTGTGACTCTGAATTCAGATAATTAATATCTGGCATGTAGCAATGTGGAGTGAAAGCAGCCAGAGCTGAGATCAGTGTGTGAATCTGAATTCAGAGCTTTGGGGCAACAAATATCCCATTTTCTGGGGTCTGCATGTGGTTGATTTCCTTCCCCTTCTCCCTTCTCTTTCTCCCTTTTTTTCTTTCCCCTTCTCCTTTTTTTCCCCCTTCTCCCTTTTCCCCCAGAGCCATTCTGGGAGCCAGAGGGGATTTCTTGAGTGCAGTTCCAGCTCTGGGGTTCATCCCACAGCCAGAACCAGGAGCATTTTCTGCTCTGACAGAGGAATAAACATCGAGGCTCTGTAAAGGATGGTCTGGAGGCTCGAGTGCAATAATTGGGCCAAACTCCTTTGCCCTGAGTGTTATCTATCACTCTGTACTTTGCTTCCTCACAGAAAGGTGGATATTGAATTCTATTTTTCTTATGCCCATTAAAAAAAAAAAAAAAGTAATTTTCTTTAAATTATGTCTTCCAGAGCTGCTAAAAAAACAAGAATCATAATGCAGCAGGACCCCCATTTCCCCAGTAATTACACTCTGCCTCCTAACTCCTTCAACAGCAATTTCTCAATTTATTTGGCTTCTGTCTGGAGCTGCAGTCACGGGCAGAGCTGGGCTCTGTCTTATTATTGCACAGACAAAATTGTCTTTAAAATGTAATTAAACATTTACCTTGAAGACAATGCTTTGTCTTCTTTAAGAAGCATAATATCTTAATTTAACCTAATCTGGAAAACCTTCCATTTCCAAGCTTTTACCTCCAAGACAATGTCATGCTAAACACAGAGCAAAACAAAAAGATTTCCTAATTTAACCTAATTAAAAGATAAGCCTCCAACTTTTCCATGGCTGCTGCCTGGAACGAGGCAGTGCAGAATTGGGTTTGCTCACAAGATTCTGTTTTATCATCCCTCTGCTTTGCTCCCTGCTGCCCATTTTTATTTATTATCCTCCTTGATGCCCCCAAATCCTCTTAGGAAGCGGAGCTGCCCAACCTTCCCCATCCTGGGCCCTTCCCTAAGCAGATCAAGGGAGCAGCACTGGAACACAGAGCTCTGCTTTGGGGTTTTGGTCCCTTGGTTTGGGGTTGGGTTTGGCTTTTTTTTTTTAATTTATTTTTGTTTGTTTTTTTGGGTTTTGTTGTTTGTTTTGGTTTGGTTTTTTTAATGAGACAAAACCCAGCCTGCCTGGCTGTGTGAGGTTTTCCCCAGGAGAGGAGGTTTCAGGAAGGTGCAAGGATTATTTCTGTGTTTGTGTTGGCTGTGGGCAGCGATGGTGTCTGGCTGGTGCTGGTCCCCGGGGTGGCAGCGCTGCCAAAATCCATCCCTGCTCCAAGGAATGGAAGTGGCAGCTGCCTCTGGCTCTCTCCTTGTCCAAAATTTTCCTTTGTGAGCTGTGAGGAGCCTGTGGAGCATCAGTGCCAAGGATGGAGCAGCCCCATCCCTCCCTCCTCTGCCTCGTGGTCCACCTGGGGCCTTGGGTTTCAGCTTTTGTATTTTTCAATAGCCTATATAATTTATATAGTTTAATATTTCAATAGATTAGCTTGTGTATTTTCAATATGTTTCTATATTTTTTGCTGCTTGGTGTGTAACTCTGAAACTTCATGCTGGGTGTTGGTAAATTCCCTTCACAGGGGACTTAGACAAAACAATCCTTTGCCAGCTAGAAAATCAAGGACAATTGTTACCCAAAAAACAAAAACAATGGCAAAGGGAAAGGCCGAGGGGTTGAGACTTCATAACCTGAAACTATGGTTGGATAATTGACCCAAATATGTTGATGAACCAAAACTTATAAAAGTGCAAAAACTCATGACCAGCATCTATTTTGGATTTGATTTGGGTGTGGGTTGAATCCTGGCTGGGCTCTTGCATTTCCCAGAGTATATCCTTTGGAAGCCTTTCAATAAATACCAATTTTTTTCCTTTTAACTGTCTAGTCTCTGTTCCAGATCAGCTTTTCTGGGCACCCAGGCTGGCCTGGGGTCAAGCACAGCTCCACAATCCTGTTTTATGCCCCTTAAGAGCAGTTTTGAGGTAAAAATGACAATATTAGTGGTGTGTGTGAGTGTCAGGGAGTGTGGCAGCCCCAGCAGTCAGCTCAGGGCTTTGTCCCCGTGCTTGTCGTGAGGGGGCACACACTGACACAAACACCACACGGTTTCTTTCCCTGCAGCCCCAGCTCCTTTCCAGCCTACAAAATATTCCCTTTTAGTTCTTCCAAGTTTAGTCACAGCTCTTCTCTGGTGGTTGTGTTTATCCTTTCTGGGAGCCTCGTCCTGCCCCTTTCCATCCTCCAGTTATTCCTGAGGGCCTTCAGATGCTTTCTCCTTTTTATTGCCAATTCTGCAGGTTTTTTGAGGGCATTTTTTGTAATTTATGAACATAAACCCTGATTCACCACCTCCCTCTCTGGTACGGTATTATCTCACAGGCTCACTCAAATTTACCCTGTGATCTGTTAAAGGTACGGAGCCCCTCAGGGGGGGAATCTGTGGGTAAATGGGGCCCTCAGAGCCCTCGCTGTGCGTGAGTATCAGAAACGGTGACAAAAGCATCCGCCCGCCCCCGCCGAGCCCTCACGGCTTGTGGGGCCGCCGCGTGCCCGCAGCCCCTTTTTAAAGTAGCGGCGCCCCCCCCTCCGCCAATAACAGCGCGGACGGGGCGTTCCTGCGGCCAATGGGAGGCGGTGGCTGGAGGAAAGGGGCGGGGACAGCCCTCCCCAAGCTCGAGCCGCGCAACTGTGGTAAACAAGGAGGCGGAGCCCGCGGCTTCCCCGGCGCGGGCAGCGGCCAATGGGCGCTCCCAGGGTGGGACAAGCAGCCAATAGAGAGCGAGGGCGGGCAGAGCGGTGCGCGCTGATTGGCTGGCGCGGCGGCGGAGTGGCCGTTGGCGGGAGGGGCGGGCCCGGGCGCTGTCGCAGTGAGCGGCGGCGCGGGCGGGGCTCCGTGAGGGCAGCGGGCAGCGCCGCCCCGCCGGTCCCCGAGCCCGGCACGGGGGCGGGCAAAAACACAGCCTGGCAAAGGAGCTCGGTGCAGTTCGGAGCTTCCCTGCTGGATGCGCGCCTGGGCAGGGAGAGGAGCTGTCCCCTGGGGAGCGCAGCATCTTTCCTAATTGAGCGGGCGCCCCTGAGCGCTGGCAGCAGCGAGGGGCTTTTGGGATGAGCGGGCAGGACTGAGAGGATTTTGCTCACTGTAGGAGCCGGAGAGGCTTGGATGTGTCCGAGGGGTGAGTAAAGAGCACTGGGGAAGCAGAGCGGCCGGCCCGGCGGGTGTGAGGCGCTCGGGGGCAGCGCTGGCCCTGCCCGCAGCACAAGGAGCCATTTGAGGGTCGCCCGTAGGGCTTTGAGCCGGCTCCTGCTGGCTGCGGGGTCTGGGAGTTGAGCTCTGTCTCTTCTGCAAGAAGAGGATCTGGGGGGGTATGGATAACTCTAGCAGGGAGAAATTTACCGGGATTTATTAGACAAACCCAAAACCCGTAGATTTTTTTTTTTTTTTGCCTCAAGAAGCTCAGCCGGAGCCGAGCTTTCTGCTAGGCTGGGCTTGCAGCCCCATCGTCCCCAGCCCGGTGCGGGCCAAGGCAGCTCCTGGCAGAGCAGCGGAGCAGCCTCGTCCGTGCCTGCTTGCGCTGTCCCAGAGCACCCGGCCACTCCAGGGTATCCCGGGGCACCGCGTCCCTCTCGGGTGTCCGAGGGAACCGCGTCCCTCCCGGGGTTCTTTCTCCCTCTCGTCCCCCCGGCAGCACAGCCCGGCATCCCGGCGCTGGAGGGGAGATGGTGCAGAGCCGGGAGCTGCTCGCACACCGCAGAGTTGATGCCAAGTCCGGACAGAGGGAACCGATCTAGTGCGGCTGGAGGGTGGGGGACAGGCCGGGGACAAAGGCTGGTCTGCCGGCCGCATCCTCGGCGGTGCTGAATGACCGCGCTCTTGTCTCTTCGTGCCGCAGCATGAACCCACCGCCGCCCAGACACACGCACCGCCCCGGCACCGCTGCCTGAACCAGCCCCGGAGCACCGTCCGGCCGGGAACCCGCACCGGGACCAGCTCAGCCCAGCTCGGCCCGGCCCGGCCCGACCCCCGGCGGGATGCGCTCGCCGCCGCCTTCATGCGGGCAGCGGGGACGCTGAACCGCCGCTGCGCCCGGCCCGGAGCCACCCGCGTGCGGTGCCCGCTGAAGGCGGCCGGTGGTGCCCAGGGCGGGCCCCGCTGAGCCCTTGGCCGCAGGAGGTGGCGGCGGGTCCCGCCCGGCGGCCGCGATCCGGTGCCCCATGGTGCTGCTGCGAAAGCTGCCGGGCATGCCGGGCTGGCCGGCGGCGCTGGGGCTGCGGCTGCCGCAGAAGTTCCTGTTCCTGCTCTTCCTCTCGGGCCTGCTCACGCTCTGCTTCGGGGCCCTCTTCCTCCTGCCCGATTCCTCCCGCTTCAAGCGTCTCTTCCTACCCCGCCGGGCCACCGCCTCCGCCTCCTCTTCATCCTCCGCCTCCTCGTCCTCAGCCTCCTCCTCCTCCACCCGCGACACCGAGCTGCCCCGCAGCCCCCCCGCGGCCGCCGAGCCCCGCCACGCCAGCCCGGCCGCCCCGCGCCGCCTGCGGGAGAAGCTCCGCACGGCCGCCCGCATGGCCGGGCCGCCGGCCCGCACCGCGCCCGGGCCCCGGCAGCAGGTGCAGGGCGGGGAGAGCCGGGCCCGGCCCGCCAGCGCCCAGCCCCCGGCCCGGGACACGCGAGCCCCGTTCCGCTTCGACTACGAGCGGTTCCGCCGCAGCCTCCGGCACCCGGTGCGCGGCGGGCGGCGCGGAGAGGATCCCGAGACCCGCGCCCGCAGGATGAAGATCAAAGAGGTGGGTGAGGAGCGCAGGCAGAGCTCTCAGCCGTGTGTCCGCTCGGGGATACCTCCCCTCCATCCATGGCAGCCCTGCCCTCAGCTCAGTGCTCGCATCTCCCTCAGGCAGCCTTGCTTCACCTCACGGCATCGTCTGCCCTCAGTCACACATCACCTCCCTTCAGGAGTGTGTCACCTCAGCCCTCACAGCCATGTCCCCATCAGACATCACCTCCCCTCAGGTTTGTGTCCCCTCAG